TTTAGAGTCCTTGGTAACGACAAGCAAAAATTGAGATGCTTATTTTGGGGTTTTGTTTGAATATGTAGTGTGTGATCAAATGTTGTGTTTCCGGATTGATGAAAGAAGTTTAATAGATGAGAGGAGGGAGAAAGAGATAGGTAGAAGTTGATTATGCCTGATTTTAATATATAAGCTGAAAATTGATTAAACTTGAGTGGGTTTTGGGTGGGTTTCTTGTGTTCATGGCAATTGATTAAACTTGGAGACCCTGTCTCTTGCTTCTATGATTTGGGGGAAGAAGAAGTAGAGGTAGATTTGGGTTAGCTGATGAGAGGAGGGAGAAGGAGATAAGTAGAAGATGAGGATAAAACTGTAGTTTGATTTTCCTTATTAAAATCCTATGTTTATATCAAAACAAGTGATTTATTAAAATATCTCATATTAAAAATCTAGGTTTTTAAATTGTAGGATTGTGGGCACAGTCCTAGTTTTTAGAAAACTCTAATCCAAACGACCCCTTTATGACTTGTGAGTCATGGTTGTCATGCCGGTGGCATATATCGGCCGGTTAAACCTGGTTCAATCTGTGTCGGTAATGAAACTAGCGTGACAGCACCAGCATGACTCGCATGATTGAATTATGAATTTTAAGCAAAATGAAATTATTTTAATGAATTTAATTAATAAAATGGTTAATTTGTTATTCAGTTTGTGACTTTAATAGTTAAAAGTTGATAGTATTTGTTGGATTGTAAGTAAATTGTCCACGAATATGTTTTATATATGATAACATATATTAGATATTAATCGTTTTCACATTTTTTTAAACCGACATGAACCGACACAAACTGGATATACCACCGATCGTACCATTGCACTCGCCAAACCGGTACAACGGTAAAAACCGGTTTGACAACCTTGCTTGTCACGATTGCCAATCTTCCAAATACAGAACATCATGATATGTATTTCTTAATATATAGTAGCTTATTAAATTTCAAGAAATATACTTATTGTTTCATTTAAGAAACAAACTACATTTTTATATAAAATTTCCCTTATGATAGCTTTTATATATATAAAATTCTCCTCGTTTAATAATTATCACAACTCGACAATTTATTAGAAATCTAGAGAGACAAAACTAAAAACGAACTTGTAAGTTTAAAATAAGACATTTAAAATTTAAAATGATTGCCTTCTCCTCTTCATGAATAAAAGTAAAGCTTAAAGAGTAAACCAATTTGCCATGTGGCCCGGTTGCAGGATTCCCACCTCCCAATCATGCAAAAAAATACATCGCTATGAAGAAGATGGTGCTACTTGGGTGGGGAAGTTGCTTGAGGTTCTTCATTAGAGAAGTGTGTGGCAGTCTGTTCGGCTTAGAAGTCAAGTAGCGAGGTGGTACTCATCATTGTGAGGGAAGTTTAACATACCTCGGCATCGCTTCCTAACATGGTTGGTTATACATAATCGGATCAAGACTCGAGTTCAACTGAAAGATTGGGGTATTGCAGAGTCTGATCGATGTTTGCTCTGTCATACTGAACTTGAAACTCGTGACCACCTGTTTTGTAATTGCTCTTATGTTGTGGCACTGTTACAGGAGTTATTCCCAAGTATCTTGTGGTCTGCAAACTGGGAGGGGATGCTACAACAGATATGTCATTTGATATCGACAGGGGACAAGATAATTGGAGTGATTTGGCGCTGGTTTGTGGCTTTAATATGAAAGGAGAGACGTACTAGAGCTTTCACAGTTGCCAGGAAAAGTAAGTAGGAACTGGTGCTTCAACTATGTAGGCAATGCTGAGTTTCATCATGAATTGGTTAGTAACTCTGGCTACTCTCAGGTAGTAGTTGATTCAATAGTTGGCAGTTAGCCTCTAACATAGTTAGTAGATAGCAGTAGCTATGGAATTAGCAAGTCCGCACTTAGTATATGATCTTGTTGATGTATACTGGTGTATATAGCAGATGTAATTTTTTTAGGATGCTTGATTTCTCAAGCTTGACCTTAATAAAAGGATAACAACAATTACCGGAAAAAATACATCGCTATTAAAAATACTTCTCTAACCTTCCGCATTGTGCGGTATAGTGTAGGGGCGTTTGTTTCGTGGATTTGGAAAATGAAGGTTTTGGTAAAACTTGGATTTTGTAAAAACATGGATATATGAAGGTTTTGGGTTCATTATGGACTTGTAAAATACCATTGTTTGTTTCATTGATTGTCATGATGGATTTGGTTAATTAGATTTGTGTGCAAGAAGTGAAAATGACCTACATTACCCTCATTGGTATGAGATGAGAAAGATAAAAGGAGGAGTAGTTTGGTGATGGACTTTAAAGTCCATGATCAAGTCCCATCTTAGACCATCCACATCCATGAAATACCATTTTTATTCCATATGTGGCCCCTACTGCCACATCAACAGCCTTTTCTATTTCACTACATATCAATTCCATTTCCTCTACATACATGAAATCCACTATCTATTTCTTATGGTGGGTCCAACTTACTTTTTAATACATCTATACATTCATATCTAACCTATATGATTTTACCAATTTAAGATGTATCAAATAATTAAAATAATATATTGTAATTATTTAATTATCAATGATGAAATAAATTTACTAATTCATTAAAAATATATTATAGCTTTATTCATTGACTAAAAAAAATAAATTATGGAATTTAAAATGGGTAGACTTTAATAAAAATACATGAAACTTTTATTAAAGTCACAAGTACAATATTCAAATGACAAACTACAAGTATTATTGGTTTGCTATGTAATTTGTATTTGTATGTAGTTGTGACATCTATATATATATGGATATTTTATTTTAGTTTTGCGCTTTCAGATTTTGAAAAATTAAATAATCAAAGGTTAATGAATTTAGCTAATATAAAATTTTTGTTTCTTATATTGTAGTTAGCAAATGATAAATAGAAGTTAAAACTATACAACACTCTTTTCAATTAAAAAAAAAATAGTGCAAAAGATGGGAAGGGGGGCCATTCTCCTGCCACATGCTATTTCATATGGGATTTCATAAAGTGGAAGATTCCACATCCATGACCTATCCCACTTTCATGCCATCACCCATGTAGATGGTCTTAAGAGGTGAAATTTTCAAGTCCGTGGGACCCATAAATTTGGACCCTTAAAGTCTATGAGGCCCACGGATTTGTTGCCATCAAATACATGAAGCAAACAATAGACTTTGAACAAAGTCCATGATAGATCCAAATTCATCATCAAATTCATCAAGCAAACGACTCCGTAGAGGTGCTGATGTAGCAAATTCTATAATCCATGAGCTTCTGCTATTGTGTATATCATGAGATTGAATGCATTAATCAACAACTCCCTCATATGTATTGTGTTTTTTTATTATCTTAGAATGATGTAGTGCGAGGTGAAGTTGAATTTCTTTTGATAATGTGTAGAAACTGCGAATATTGTACAAATTATTGTCGTGGAGGAAAAAATAATAAGAATAATAATAATCATCGCGACTCGCGGGATAATGAGACTCGAGCTCATAATCCATGGCTTACATTTGCATATCATGTAATGCTTAAGAACTTTTGGGTATGGTCTCACATGAAATGAGATTAATGCATGGAGTGTCATGTTTTGCTCGTTTATAAAAGGAGCATCGAGGAACCGTTGGAGGCATCGAGGCAGGGCCCCTTTGGTTTCGCAGGTCATCGATATGGTTGGATGGCTCCATCATTTTTAATCCTCGTCCCATGGATTTGGTTGGTTGGAAGAGATGTTGGTTCAGGCCTTTGGCGTCGATAGTTGTTAGTAGCATTTGTGGACACGCCCCTGTGTTGATCCATGTTTGAGCTCTTTGGAATGAGCCTATTCAGTTTATGGTCATTTGTTTGGGCATTTTGGATAGATTTTCTTTTACCCTTGTTTTATGATGTATCTGGATTTCCATTTTCCATTGAATTCATCTCGCTCACTTATGAATTGCTTAAAGAGAAAAAAAATATTTCATATTGTCCCAAGTCTCTCAAAGCCAATTATTTATGATCTATGCTCATATTCCGTTTTTTTTATATACCAAAGATAGCTTGCATTATCAAGAACAACAAAGATACAACTTTTAAAACTCCAAATGGAGCCAAGCGCAAAAATCGAAACTGCTCAAAGTACGCAGAGACAAAGAGAGGGCTTTTCTAGCCACTAAATGGGCTGCCCTATTGTTATGTCTGCCTACAAAGTGCACTGAGAATCCGGGATTATCTCGGAGCATCCACTTGATTTCCTGCAAAAATAGCTCCGCCTACCGCATCATTACCACTCCTGCTCAGACTTTATCAATGATCCCCTTTGCATCACCTGCCAGAAGCATTGTCGTAAATCCCGCGCTGACACACCACCGAACGGACTCTCGCAACGCTACATATTCCGCTTCAATTAAATTGATGTAGTCAATAACGTAAAAGTTAAATATTATCTTTTGAGGGATCAACAATCGTAACAATATTGTAATTCTAAAATGTTAGGTTGGAGTTTCATGTAATAATTGTCATGAACCAGTTGCTCCCAATAACTCGAATTGTTGGGAGAAGGTTATGTTGGATCTTATACCACTCTCTAACACGCCCCCTCAAACGAAAGCCAACCCATTTGCACAAGCCCATCATACCATGTGCTTGAAAGACAACGATTAATATTGGAGGTTGTAGAGATTCGAACACATGACCTTTCAGTTCTGGACTCTGATACCATGTTATGAACCAGTTGCTCCCAATAACTCGAGTTGTTGGGAGAAGGTTATGCTGGATCTTATACCACTCTCTAACAATAATAAGGTCTCTAAATTCCAAACAGGAAAACAAAAGGGTAATCAACTACTCTAACTTGCTAGCTTTTCCCCTAATCTCAGCCTGGTTTCATGAAATTTCATCATCAAGAGTTTACTAAAGTTAGAAGGTGATAAATGTTGCGCAAGCACTGGGAGGCACTTTCCAGTTTCCATTGGCAAGTCGAAACAATTGTTTTTGGTGTTAAGCCAATGAGCTCAACCAAACGTGCATGTCTTTTAGTGCAACAACGTGGTTCTCTGATCTCAACCTCGACATCGATTGGCGCACCTAATCAAAATTTTACCATATCATATTCCCCTCACCCCACCATTCATGGAAGTCCCCGTCAGAATCCCCAAAACAACGAAACAAGCTCTGCAACACAAACACACACTACCCATTAGTCAACTAGAGTCCAAAGGTAGGTAGTTCCTCACTTCCTCCGTCTTACTTTCATCTCTCCTTTTCTCCGATTTGATCGTTGCTTTCCGCCCTCGATCGTGCGTTACAGTTTCGCGATTTCCTGATCTGGGTCGTTTTCCTTCGTCAATTTGGATTGCCGGGCAGTGGCGCTTTTGACTTCACAATGAAGCTGACTCCCAAGGAAGTGGATAAACTGGGACTCCACAACGCTGGATTCCTCGCCCAGAAGCGCCTCGCTCGCGGCCTCCGCCTCAATTACACGGAATCCGTCGCTCTTATTGCCTCTCAGGTATCTTGTTTCTCGCCTTCATGCGATGTGTAGTGTTTAGGAATTATGTTGTGAGAAAACACAATGGGGGTTTATCTTGAATTTAAGTTATATTTCTGGGTTTTTTCGGCTTTGCAGATATTGGAGTTTGTTCGTGATGGAGACAAGAGCGTGGCAGAGTTGATGGATGTTGGGAAACAGTTACTGGGAAGGTAATCCTTTGTGAGCTATTGGAAAATGAGAATATCGCTGTACTGTTTTTTCTTACTTAAAGCTACTATTACTTAAAGTTGCATACCAGTGAATGTTCTCCCAGACCCTTGCAATGTCGTGTAACTTGAATTAGATTTATCCTGACTGTGGCTTTTTTTGGGGGTGTATGGGAACAGGAGACAGGTTCTTCCAGCTGTTCCTAATCTTCTTCATTCTGTACAGGTACTATGCTTGTTCATCTATAAGTTTGATGGTCCAAACAAAGCCTCTTTTAGTAGCCGCCCGACATGTAGCTTTTGGACGCAATGATGATATTTGATGAAATAGGAAACTAGAGAATCTTTCATTGTCTTATGAAGTTGATCAAAACTGCAGGTTGAGGGAACTTTTCCTGATGGAACCAAGCTAATCACAGTTCATGATGCTATTGCTAGCGAAAATGGGAGTCTAGAGCTGGCTTTGCACGGTTCTTTTCTACCGGGTAATGTCTGACATCAGAAATGCTGTGAATTTGACCGAGGTTTCCTGCAAGATGCACCATCTATCTAGTTGTTGTCAGAGTAGTTGCAGTCTTGTGAAAGTGAACATGGCTGACACACGGTATTTTACTGGTACATGATGGAAGATGATTTAATTATGCAGTTCCGGCACTCGATAAGTTTCCTGGGATACAGGATGCCGATTTTCCTGGCGAGATTATATATGGAGACGGTAGTGTAACGCTTAATCCAGGAAGAAGAGCAGTAATCCTGAAAGTTACCAACTGTGGAGACAGGCCAATTCAGGTGCTCTTTTGGCTAGACTTTTTCTTTGACAGACTTTTGACATGGGGTTGATGTAGTTGGAATGCCTTATAATACCAACTTAATTCAGGTTGGCAGCCACTACCATTTCATTGAGACGAATCCTTACTTGCTTTTCGACCGATTGAAATCAGTTGGGATGCGACTCAACATACCAGCTGGAACAGCTACAAGATTCGAGGTAAATGTTTTATTCCTGATGGTCATAATAGTTTTTGCTCCTCTTCAATCAGTTTCCCATGTTGATATGGTCCTACTTTGCCAGCCAGGTGACTGTAAGAGTGTCCTACTTGTTAGTATTGGAGGTAAAAAGGTGATTAGAGGTGGAAATGCTATCATTGATGGCTCTGTTAGTGATAGCAGTAATGATCTCATATTGGAGGCTATACAAGCTCGAGGATTTCGGCATCAAGAAGAAGCAAATGCCAGGTCCTGAACTTTCACCCTGGCGTACTTTTCTTTCGTCGGGGGGTTTCCGAAAGAGGGTTGTATATCATAATCTGTGTAAAGAACTCGTTTTCATATCTATCACTCCGTATGTCAATCCACATATACAAATTACTCATCAGAACAAGAACTTTCCCAAATCTTACTGTTCGCAAAATCCATCTAGTGCAAAAATCTTACATCCAAATGACCCCCTTATTACTTGAATTCCTTTCAACTGAGTCTTACCACCTAGATTACTGCAAACTGTTGCAGAGAAGGCATAACTGGAGAAGATCTTGCTTTCACCACGGTCGTTCCTCGTGAGGCGTATGCTAACATGTATGGGCCCACTACTGGTGACAAGATTCGTCTTGGGGACACTAATCTCTATGCAGAGATTGAAAAAGATTTTGCTGTTTATGGTGATGAATGTGTGTTTGGAGGCGGGAAGGTCATAAGGGATGGAATGGGACAATCTGCTGGTCATCTGCCTGAGGATTCTCTTGATACTGTCATAACAAATGCTGTTATCATCGACTACAGTGGAATTTACAAGGCAGATATCGGTATTAGAGGTGGTCGTATTGCTGCCATCGGCAAAGCAGGAAACCCAGATATCATGGATGATGTTAACATAGATATGATCATCGGTGTAAGTAAACTTCTGTTGCCTGGTAATTTATACGAAAATTACTGGAGTGTGTTCTTTCCATGTTTACTAAAATTAGGTTACTGACTTTTAAGTTTTAGGTTTGGCAGAATTGAAGAAAAAGGTGTTTGCTAAGTTTTAGAAATAACTGAGTTGATGTAGTACGATGTATCTTTTAGCAGTGAACTGTCAATGTTGGAGTGATGGATAGTCTGTTTACTAACGACTGAGTTATGGGAAATGACTTGTATGAGTCAAGGTTATGACTATATTCTTATCCCAAAGAGTAAAAGGTAGCTTTGAACAATTTCTGGGGGTTTCGACGAATAGTTGATCTAAAAAGTTAGATTGAAGAGATGTGTTTATTTCACATTTTAGGCTCACTCATTTTCTAGCTGAAAGAAACACACTAAATATGTTAATAATGGTGTTTGATTGTCCAAATGTGAATGTTGATCAGGTTAACACAGAGGTTATTGCTGGAGAAGGGATGATCATAACTGCAGGGGCTATAGATTGTCATGTCCACTTCATATGTCCCCAGTTGGCACATGAGGCTATATCAAGTGGTAATCACTAATCGAAGGAAGAAACTTCCAAACTGGGAACTCGTTTTACCAGAAAACAAATAATTGCAGGAATTTGGATTTTCTTTCTGACCTCCAATACACGTAGGGATTACAACACTCATTGGAGGAGGAACTGGACCTGCTGACGGGACACGTGCCACTACGTGTACTCCTTCTTTATCACATATGAAGCTTATGCTGCAATCTACTGATGACCTACCTCTAAATTTTGGCTTCACTGGGAAGGTAATGCTCTATTTATTTTGAACACAAAGCTTTCTTATACATTGTGGCTAAGAAATACGAATGTTGGATGGTGAGTCTAGTTATCGTGAACCTCTAGTAGTTAGGTACAGGTAATAATGGAAGAGATAGCTAATGAATCAGGAATGACCTTTCCGCCCTCTCATCCTTTTCAGGGAAACGCGGCCAAACCTGAAGAGCTGCACGAAATAATTAAAGCAGGGGCAATGGGTCTGAAGCTGCATGAAGACTGGGGAACTACACCAGCTGCAATAGACAATTGTTTGGCAGTAGCTGAGGATTATGATATTCAGGTAGGTCCTCTGAAGTATGAAGAGCTAGCAACAGATTCTTCGCTGAACTTTGAAGCCTGAATCCTTTCACTTTTATGGCAGGTCAATATTCATACTGATACCCTGAACGAATCTGGTTTTGTGGAACACACTATTGCTGCATTTAAAGGAAGAACCATCCATACTTATCACAGGTAGCTTTCAACTCAAGTCGGGCCCCATGCCTCGATGGCCAAGTAACTGCAAGGACGTTTTGACAAGTATTTGGGTATAACTTTTTGACAGTGAAGGAGCAGGTGGTGGCCATGCTCCAGACATCATCAAGGTTTGTGGTGTTAAAAATGTCCTGCCATCATCAACAAATCCCACAAGACCTTTCACGTTCAATACAATCGATGAGCATCTTGACATGTTGGTAAGCCAATGATCGAAATATATAATTAGCACATAATGCTTCTATAGATGTTCCAATGTGAAAAAATGTTGGTTCTGTTTCTTTTATGTAGATGGTTTGCCATCATCTTGATAAAGACATACCCGAAGATGTGGCTTTTGCTGAATCGAGGATTAGGGCTGAGACAATTGCTGCAGAAGACATATTGCACGATATGGGGGCGATTAGCATTATATCTTCCGATTCACAGGCCATGGGTCGCATTGGAGAGGTATGTTCTTCCTTTCTTCCTAACATCATTGCTGTCAGTGACAGTGGCAGAGCCACATGGATACTGATGGAGTGCCACTTGGAAAAATAAATTGGAGGAAACTTATAGCTATAGGCGATACAAGGCTGTCAGTTCTCGTGATTGCATGGAGATTTACTTGGTGTAACTAGTTCTAACATTTCCAGCTGCAATTGTAAGTTTAGAAAGAGGAACATAGGTAATAGTAGGTAGTGAGTTCTTGACTTGAACAAATCTTGCCCGATAAAAATCACAACTTATTCCTATCTTTGCTTTACAACCGAATTTGGACATATTTCAGTTTGCAACTCAGTTATAACAGTCAATACTTATTCTTGTCATTGAGTTACAACTGAGATTGGAGTTACATATTGCAACTCTCAGTTCGAACTACAAGTTGAAAGAGGTCTATTGTAAATACTGCCTTACAAGTTGCAATTAGTTCTGATTTTACAAGTTGCAATTGTAAGTTTTGAAAGTTCCTCTGCAACCAGCTACATCAACAACAAGTATAAAAAAGTTTCAGAACTGAATAAGAGATGGATGGATAGATGACTGTTTAGTCCATTGAGAAGACATATTTTAGCTTTATATATATGTTCTTGATAGCGTAAACGATGAATATATGTTAGATTTTTCCTAAATAGGAAAGCATCATAACTTATTATGCAGAATATAGGATAATTACCATGTGGTAGTTTTTTTTCCTTACAATCGGATTTCACTTTGAGAAACTGGTTTATTCATCCTTTACTTATTTTGGCTCACAGATTTCTGTGCTAATGTTACGCTTTGCTGAATTCTTTTTTCCACCAGGTCATAAGCAGAACTTGGCAAACTGCCCACAAGATGAAATCACAGAGGGGAATGATTGATCCTGCTGGATCAGACAACGATAACTTGAGAATCAAGCGATATGTTGCCAAGTATACCATAAATCCAGCAATAGCAAATGGAGTTGCAGAATTCATCGGTTCAGTTGAGGTAATAATGCCATTTTTTTTTAAAACTCTTTTGAGTCGTGTAAACTTTCCTCTCCAGCCGAGAATCAAGAGCATCATCAACGTACATTTGTCTCTGTAGGTTGGAAAATGGGCCGATCTCGTGTTATGGCAACCTGCATTCTTCGGAGCCAAAGCAGAGATGGTGATCAAAGGTGGTGTGATTGCATGGGCTAACATGGGTGATCCAAATGCGAGCATCCCAACACCCGAACCGGTTAGAAATTTCAACTGATTTCTTATCCTAAGATCCTAAAGGATCGACTTAATAGTTAAAACTGGAAGAGAACATCTATATTAAACCTCTAAGTAGAGGTGACAAATGAGTTGGGTGAGATAATAGCAGGCCATGTCACATTGTCACGATGGATTGGATCGCTGCAGGTCCTAAGATCCTAAAGACCGACTAATTGGTTAAAATGGTATAAAGGTTAATGACAACATCTATGTTTTACGTCCACCAAGTAACCTGGTGGGGTAATTGTGAGTTGCAGCGTAGCAGGCGTTTTAACCAAAGTCACTGAAATTCAAACCATGATGTCTCTCATAACTCTTCACAAAACATTTTCTTTTGAAACCATTAATGCAGGTGATCTCAAGGCCTATGTTTGGGGCATTTGGCAAGGCAGGTAGCGAAAACTCCTTTGCCTTCGTGAGCAAGGCAGCTTTGGATAACGGGATCAAAGCTTCATATGGTCTGAACAAAAGAGTTGAAGCTGTGGGAAACGTCAGGAAGCTCACCAAACTTGACATGAAACTCAACGATTCCCTCCCAGAGATCACGGTGGATCCTGAGACGTACTGCGTCACGGCTGACGGCGAGGCTCTGACTTGCTCTGCTGCCGCCACCGTTCCTCTTTCACGGAATTACTTCCTCTTCTAGGTATATGATTGAGATAGGAAGGTTACATCATTCATCGTGTTCTCGTCTGGACTGAACATAGATGAAACACTGTTACATGAAAACCTCACACAGTTAGTCCCCTTGATGAACAACTGTGCTGTTTGCAGCTTTTAGTCGTTGATTATACCATTTCCTTAAGGGGGTAATAATGCTTTTGATTCAATGTGTTATCTAGTTTAACGAATGCGTGATTATCTAAAAGACTTGTAAGGATCGACTAACAGATCTTGGGAATTGTTTTTCTTCTTCTTCCTTGTGTAGAGATCATTTGGCTAGTTGATTGTTGAAATGTTTAGATTATTAAGAAAAGATAGTTTTCGAAACGAACTATTAGGTTTGGTGCAATGAGTTGTGAAAACGTATTGTTTGGATGTTTTTTTTTTTTCAGCCAATGAATTGTGACTTGTGAGTAACGCTTTGTGGCTAGAAGTTGTGATAATATCAAGTAACTGATAGGGCAAAAGCGTAATGCCAAAGCGTAATGCTAATTCCTATCTTGTAGTAATCCGGAAAGTCCGGGTATCGTCTCTCAGGGACTGGTACAACCTTATGATTTATCAATTCTTCCGAGCAAACTATACGTGAAAATGTTTAAGAGATGAAATTATTAACTAAAAGCAAAATTAACTAAACAAATTAAGCAAGTGAAAACTGTCGAGTTTAATTCAATGGGAGAAAGCTCTGGGAGAAACACCGGGATTTACTACCTATCCTATCCAGATTAATTCACATATTCCAATCAATTTAATCCATACCTCTACAGCCAGGATATCACTACTGTGCTAGCTATCCCTGTCGGGAATTACTACGTACTAAACAATTAAATCAAATCCTACTGTCGTAGCTCAATGACTTAATTATTTAGTCTGAAGACCGATATCCTATTAAAGACCGCATAGCACCTTATTTAATCCACTGTCGCTTCGATAAGTTACTATGTCACATGAAACAGGTTCAGTTAATAGGGTTTCACTGTCGCTAATAACCTAATCAACTACGATTCATTGTATTGGTGGCCAGTCAACACAAAGCATTAAGAAATTTCATGCAATAGAGATTGGAAGAAAAGAATCATGAATCAATCCATCAAATCAAGAAATAGCTACATCCTATGGTGTTTCCCCCAGAAATTGGGGTTTAGTTCATGACGAAATTAAGATAAATCGATAGGGTTTTGTTCATCATGTTCTAAATCAACAATAAATAACTAATTCGGTTAAGAAAATCCAACCAAATAATCGCTCTCGTTGAACTCAGCTCTAGCCGCTTGGAAAAAACTGCTCGTTGCTGATGGTTGCTCGTCCCTCTCTGCTGCGCGCTGCGGCCTTTTTGCCTAAGAGCCCTCGTCCCAAAAAACTAATAACCGCCTCCCAAAATCAGATTCAATTTCCGCCCAGAATTCTCCTTTTCTTTTTCTTTTTTTTTCCAAAGAAAGATCACGTCCCCCCAAACTCCCACCTTGTGTCCAATTAATTCCAAAAATTGACCCCCTCAATTGCGTGTCCCGTTCCCCCTTTTGCTTTAATTCCGCCACCAAAAACCCACACCAGAGAAGAATTTGCTTCCGTCCACAAAATAGTCCCCAGGCCCATGATTATGTGTCCCCGTCCAGCTGGGCTTTAAGCCCAGCATTCGAGAATTGTTTGCCGGTGCAACTTCTTTTTCGTGTTTTCTTCACCTGTAATATATCAAACTCATGGTACTAGGCAGTAATGGTTTTTCAACCATTCTCGGGTTAGCGAGCCCTAAAATAGTACCAATTGGCTAAAACATACCACGGATAATCACATAAAGTCCAAGAATTCAATATGTTAAAGCCGATTATCACAACCCCACACTCAATTGTTGCTTGTCCCTAAGCAACGACTCAAAAGACACAAACACAAAATGACACACCACAGACGCACTAATCAAACACTCAAAGCAAAATACAAAATTTCCTTGTACTCTTGTTGTAATCAGTAGTTTCTTTCTCAACGGACAAGTTGTGCTCTAATGGTCATACCTTTCACCCCACACTCAAGGTCTTTGCAACCCTTAACCATTGACTGACTCAAATCCATCCAAAAACTCAAATAGAAACACTCAATTTCGATCGTCGGTAGTGGGTGGTTAACAACTTATGGTGCAACAGTTATTAGGAGAATCTAACCACATCAGTGAGGTGCATATCTCGTGAGGACAATCTGGCTTACTCACACCAATCATAAGCAATCAATTAAGCATGAGTCTCAAAAACAAATGGGGGAAGCCTTTCGCAAACAAGATTTTACTTTAAGCACATCACTACCTTTTATGACAAGGAGAGGCTTTCTCTCTTTCTGCTTTTGCTTGCCGAGAGGTCGTATTTAGTACAAGTGGGATTTGTTTCTTACTACCGGTGACCGAGCAAGAGCAATTTCTGCTTCTTAGCACTCGCATAAGGGCTTCTTTTAACTCCTTATCCTCGGTCCGTGTGGAGGGTCATTGCTCCTCAAATGGCACTTCACTCAACTGGGGATCGTACTTGATAAGCAACATCGTACGGTCGCGAACCGATTCTCAATTGAATCTTTCCTCATCCCCATGTGCAATGAACGATTGCCTCACACTTTTTTGGCATTTTGCCCACACTTTAATTGTTATGGCAACTTTCTTATATTTTACTTGTCAGGTAGTGTTTTCTTTTATGAAGATACAGTTCACCCCATCATAAAACATTCAAAACAGAGAGACTCATTGCAAAATCAAAAGCTCACAATTGATGCAAGTAAGCACGATATCCAAACATATCGAATGGTCAATGTTCTCCACCTAACTACTTCACCAAAAGTCGTTACACTATCCTCACCAAAGAGAATGTTGCTAAAAGAGTAGCTCATTCCAAGCATATCAAGTCAGTCAAAACATTTAAGCTCATTGTGAAGAACCATGCAATTCAACACTAGTGGGGTGATTTTGATGATTTCATTCAAGCACAAACTCATTTTCAAGGCATCACGGTCATTTACATCATGTTACCACAAGAGTACAAGGTTTTGTTTTTAATTTTTTTGATTTTTAGGTGTTTTTTAGCCATTAGCTTTGCACAGGCAGACTGCTTTTTACACAGGCAGACTGCTTTTTACACAGGCAAACTGCATTTTACACAGGCAAACTGCATGCAGTTTGGCTGTGCTCAACCTAATGGCAAATTTTTTGTTTTTTTTGTTTGTTTTTTTTTTTGATTTTTTGTTTTTTTTTTACCGACCACATGACAAAAGGAACAAACAAATGTTTTTTTTTGGAATTTTTTTTTTTACGACATGTAACATGGACAAACAACACTAAGACTCACCACCCCACACTCAGGATGGAACATTGTCCCTAATGTTCAACTCCTAATCTAAACATGCACGGGTTTGACACAACTAAAAAGAAAAATAAAGAAAAGAAAAGAAAACTTACCTTGGGTTGCCTCCCAAGAAGCGCTTGTTTAACGTCCTCAGCCTGACGTTCATGGAGCTTTCAACTAATGGGTATGGAAAGGTATCCAGCGTACCCTCCCGAGCAATGATAGAACGCATAACCTCCATCCAGCATATGAGTCACCTCTGCAGGGCCAGGTGTGCGAAAATTGGGTATGACCTTCTTAGCTGGCATGTTAGACCCTTTAGTGAGGCGTAGGTGGTACTGCAGCGCCTCAAGCAGGTACTCTTCCTGTTTCAATGTCAGTGAAGAAGGAATAATAACAGGAATATTGAAATCCTTACCCAAATATCTATACTTGAGGTGACCTGGCAAGGATTTCTGCCCTTGCTTTGATTTCAGAATCTGAGCAGATAGGATAGGTGATAGTTCTTCGGATGGTCCACTATCACAGGAAGAGGGATTTTTCCTTTCTCGAGCTTCACTTTCAAATTCATCATGATTATGTTCAACTTGAAAGACATTAAAAATTTCCTCCTCCTTACCTACTCGGAATGTCAACTTGCCTCTCCCAACATCGATGAGTGCATCACCGGTTGCTAGAAAAGGTCTGCCGAGGATTAGAGGCACTCCCCGATCATCTTCCATCTCCAGGATTACAAAATCTGTTGGGAGAATAAACTTTCCCACCTTCACCAATACATTCTCCACCACTCCTTTTGGAATTTTCACTGATCGATCAGCCAATTGGAGAGTGATCCGAGTAGGCTTTAGAACATCTCCCAATCCCAATTTCTTGTAGACTGAGTAGGGCATCAAATTAATTCCTGCTCCAAGATCACAAAGTGATTTATTGAATTCTGTACCTCCAATGACACATGGAATGGTGAAGCTGCCCGGATCATCCCTCTTTTCTGGTAATTTATTCTGAATCACAGCACTACATTCAGAAGTAAGGGTTACCTTCTCCAGATCAGCCCATTTCCGCTTCTTTGTCAGCAACTCCCTTAAGAATTTAGCATATGTAGGCATCTGTTCAAGTGCCTCCGCCAAGGGTATGTTAATCTGAAGTTGCTTGAAGATATTCACAAATTTCTTGAAGTTTGGGTCTTCCATGGGCTTCATTAACCTTTGAGGGAATGGTGCGGGAGGTTCATAAGGTTTTACCTCTTCATTCTTCAATTTTTCCACTTTTTGAGGTACACGGGTAGCATGCTTTTGCACAGGCAAACTGCTTTCATTTTGCCTGTGCAAGGCTGATTCTTCATTTTCTGCACAAGATCTTTCTCCCGGTGCTTCCTCTTCTGCCTCTGGTACCTTTTTCGAGCGGCTAGGGTCTTCCAAGGCCTTTCCACTCCTCAATGTCACTGCTACAACCATGGCATCCTTCGGATTCCTCTCAGTATTTGCTGGTAATGTCCCAGGAATCCTGCCTTGCATATCTGCCAAAGTTTGAGCCATCTGGCCTATTTGCCTCTCCATAGCTAGCATAGAAGATTGTAAATTATTGTTGATGGCTAGCTGTTGAGTGACAAACTGATCCAGGCCCTTCAGATTATTGTCGGTTTTCTGCATGTGAGCCAGAAGCAATTCTTCAAGTTGTGGTTTCTTCTCTGGTTGAGGTGGAGGTTGTTGTTTCTGCATGCCTGGAGGTGGAATGTTGCGAGCACCATTTGAGTTGTTGTTCGCCCAGGAAAAGTTAGGATGCTTCCTCCATTGTGGGTTGTAGGTATTCGAATACATACCACCCTGGCCTTGATTTCTCTGATTGTTGATATAGTGCACATCTTCCACCTGATCAGCCACCAGTGGACATAGATCCCTATGATGAGCACCTTCACATAATTCACACAAAGCAACCTCCTCCTGTCTACCAAGAGCCATCTTAGCCAGCCTTCGGTCGAGTACATCGAACTTGGCATCCAGCTTAGCATC